TTGGGACATGTCAGCAGTGCGTACTTTTGGTGTCTCTTTCAGGACTCGAACCGAGAATCTTCGAGTTAAGACTTCAAACCCTTACACCTTAGCTGCCCAGTGCTATTTGTCAATCATTACAGAGATTTACTACGATAAAGTTCATTAACTTATCTCACTTGCGAAGAGGGCTTAAAACATGATGTGCGTTTTTCTTTGGAAATGGATTTCTGGCCAAATGACGTGACTACCTAGTAGTAACACCGATCACTCCGGGATGCGAATCACAGCATCTCGTTGTCTGTGGAATAGCACTTTCTAGAATCAGTCACCACCAAACGTGGAACATTCTCCGTGTGAATTACTATTTCCGAACAGACAAACAACGAAGCAAATAAATAAGTAGAAAAGAGAGACAGAACAAAATAACTATCAACACTCCCATCCTCCTGTTCGAACGCGCTTTTCATTAATATCAATTCGAACTGTGAACTGCAAACCATGATTATTCGTTTATCTGATTTCAGTCGCAATCTGGAACGAATTCTCCTCAAATACTGCGCTCATATCGTCTGCTTCATGAAACACAAACAGACTGGGATGATTAATGTGAGAATTAGCATCTTCTATAACAACAACAACAACATTGATATCAACAACAGCACGATCATCATGTTCATCTTCATAGATTGCTCTTGACTGTGCACGATCGTAACGAGAATCCCCATATGTGCGGCTGTGACCGTGTTTGTGCACTCAATATGAATTAGAGGCGCGGCTATTGTTACATTACGGATCATAGTCACTTGATACTATAAAGTAAGCATAATCGAAAAGCGTAGTCACAAATAGACGAAGCGAACACATCAAACTGATACGTCAGAATTGTGAGTGATGTTCTTTGCGTTTGGTGACCGCAGCATTGTGAATGATATTCTATTCGTGGTTTGTCCGTAATTGCGTTTTTTTTAATTTTTATTTTGATTGATAGATGTTATTGCAAAAATACTGGTCGTATACCATCGACAGGTTAGACAACAGCATTTATATTTAGTCATCAGTTGTGATGGTGGTGGTGTTCAGTGGTATACATCTTGTTTCCGGGGTTTGAACTAGGCCACAAACGCTCAACTAAATCTCGACCCAAGGCCGATTGCATTCTATTGGATTCTAAATTGGTTTATTACTTACAGTCCCGTAGTTTATGATACCGGTTTTCCTTCGGTGAACAGTGGAGTGTTTACGAACCGGAATTTTTGTATCTAAAACTTATGCCGTTCTGACTGTGCTGGATGGTTCACATGAAAAAGTGCATTGATGCAAGGTTCTGGGTGAGTTGGTTTATTTTCCTACCTAGAAAATTGCAAACACTTAGCTTTCCTCCGTCCATACACATTCATCGATTTTAGTTCGAGTATGAATACTTGGCTCTTGTATACAACCATATTGGATTAATTTTTTTAGTGATCATCACGTGATTCCGAAAACATCTCACTATTTGTCAAAGTCGTCAAGGGATTGTTCTTAGCTATTTTGAATAAACCGTTTGCACTTAGTTCAAGGGATGAGATGCGTTCATTTAAGCTGAAAACGGTGGACAAGTATTCGGTTGACAGATCGTCAAAAGTTTTGGATTGGACTGAAAAAAGAACTGTAAATCGGATGAGCATAAACAAGAGTAAATTGAAAGGAATAGGTAAACAGAGGTGTAAAATTTGAGAATGAGGCCGTGACTTTTCAGACGACTCTAAATGTTACAGTTCTCTACAACCTTGGTGACGTGGATAACTGCATACAGCTAATATAGCTCTTGCTTTACAATCCTGATAGCTACCGATTCGGACATGATGGTGATCCTCTTAGATAAACCATGGGCGTAAACCTCGGGATTGCTTTAAATTTTTGAAAATAGAAATGACACACAAATGACACTTCATCGATCAAGCGTTGCAAGATTGCATTTGTGATTTTTCGGACTGCATCATTGTGGAGTAAAATTGTGCAGTCCTCTGCTATTTTAATCAAATGTCATTTCAAAATCTTGTCTTTTAATCCACGTTTAGCTTTCGATGCACATCATTACTTACGTTACAATTATGTGTAAATCCGAATGAGCTCCTATGAAAAATCGGAATTTGTGTCTTTGCTCAGGCAGAATTTCATTAGTTTCACAGCACATACTCAAGTGCCAAGCGGTGAGGGTGGTTTCCGATGTGATCAACCGGTTCAATTCTTTGTCATTGGATACTTGATAGTTGGATTTCCTCAATTGATCATTCGGTTACATAGAGAATTTCGTCGTGTACAGAGTAAATGAGGCGTGGAAAGAAAAGCATTGAAAAGTCATCTTGATCTGGTTGTGCCTCATCAGTAGTTAGAATCCATCGACTGAAATAGGTATCGAACCCGTGACTTTACCAGTGAAACGCAAGCATATTATTTGCTTCACTACCAGATAGCTGATCCAATCATTTTTCATGTTGTCTATACACGACAAAGCGTAATAGATCTTTGCGAGTTTTATTGGTGGTCATGATTCGATTATAAACACTTCGAATCTCATTACTTTTCCATGAGCGTAAGGAAGAATTTGATTTCGTTATAGAATCAAAATCTAAGAGGCACTGAATAGCCATTTTGCAAATATAATTGATACTGTATCGTGTATAAACAAAATATAAAAAGGTCTGGTCAGCTACCCATTAAAGATATTATATGTATACGCCACTTGAAGGCAATGAGTAGGGCTTCCTCCGCGGAAGCTATTACAGAGGTTTGGTTGTATAGGAGAATTTCGTGAGGTGCAAGGAAAGGGTAATCAGTCACAACCTAAGACACCCACCCACGACCATACTGAGGCTTTTGAAGGCTACTCGGTACTACGGTGTCAAACGGTTCACAACCACATCCATGCAATTTGGGTCCTATATGAATCTAGCCACTCCGTTCCCGGTTCTCGTAACTATGCAGTTCACCTCTTCCAATCCATACCATTCATTCATTTCTGATAAAAAATAATTGGCGGAATTAGATATCTTAGATTTTATCTTCCTAAGAATCCATCACCTGCTCCCTTCACTGCCACACTTTAAAAACGTATTTGTTTGCTTATTCCCGTCGGACAGCACAGTTCTTGATTTTCATGCAATAAATTACAAGACAGTTGAAAATATCTTTCATTTGTTTGTTATCAAGTCATACGAATGTCCCAAGAAATCCAAGGATTTTAAAAGGGGTGAGATTGTGCGTAATAACCCTGGTTGGATATGTTAATTTTTCCCAGGTTTTGTCTTCTAATTTCCCAGTAGGAAACATGCTGTCAACAGCGCTGTGACTTTCACACACACACACACAAACCTTCGTTGTGTCCTTCCAAGCACAACTTTCTCCCGGGAAACTCATGAGGCTGTTGGTGAAATCAAAGTATCTTACCTGTCTCCAAACCAACCAAATCATACATTTCCCAATTATTTATCTATCCGAAAAGCTGTTGTCAGACAGTTAGCTGGTCTTGTTACGACCGCATTTTCACAGTTTATGCATACATGGATCGCTTATCTGGGAGCAGTGGTAGGCACCAATCGGTCCACCTACCCCATGCACACATCCGCATTTGTCCCTCTCCTCCCGCCGGCCCCGGACCCAGATGAACGAGTGAAGTACAGTTGGTACACAATGGTTTTCTCCCCTCTCTCTTTCACACACACACACACAACCTGTGTTTGAAGAGGGAAGGGCGGAAGATCGGTTAAATCCTTGTCAAAACAAGGGTACAAAAATCTGGGTTCTGGGATTTGGACCGGACAGAATCCGAATCACATGTCCAGTTTTTCACTCTACTTGAAAATAAAGCACGGCCGAACGTGGATGGAGGGAAAACCAAACCGGATTTCCTTACACAATNTTCCCCCGTG